CGGCAAACAACCAATTAAGGCAAGTTTATTAATTATGCTGCGCAAGTGCAAGTATTACAAGTTTATACAATATTGATTATTTCTCTCTATTTTAACTAGCTAAACCCTTCCTATTTATATCTGCTGCGACGCGTATACTGATATACCGTCACGTCCTACAAATCCCCGATTAGACTATTTAGGCTTTATGATGCAGGGTTTGATGGATCGTGCCATATCACATGACTGACGATGATCCTAGCGACCCACACATTTTTCCCCGCTAACAGTAGGTAGTTTTTTTTTTATCTTATTAGCAAGTAGGCACGTTCACATGTACATGTAAATTGTATCGATTGCCAGTAAAGATCATATAACCAACCTGCAGTAATATTGAAATTTATGTGATTGATGAACACTATTGATTTTTGACTATTTAATTTTTACGTTGTATACAAAAATTTTTTTGTGTTTACATCTATATGATACATTAATGATAATGACAATAAATAAATTACTGTTTTGTTTTTATTATTATGTCTATAATATTAAAGTTTTCCTAAATACAATGTTTCGTGTATATGTTCCATCTTTACCTTAAACTTTGCAATTTTTAGCAAAAACTTTGAGATTATATCCTTCACGAACTCTTGACATAGCGACATATAGTTGTCCATGAAAGAAGACTGGTTGTGAAAAATATAGACAAACATAAGGTAATATTTGACCCTGAGCTTTATTAATAATTAAAGCGAATACTAATCGTATAGAAAATTGCTTTCTTTTTAACATAAATGGTAATCCAGTATCTTCGGATGGTAGTAGAGGAATTCTAGGAATAAATATACATTTGCCTTTATAGTCTCCCGTTGCTATCTCAGCATCAATTATCTGTGGTTGAAATTGTCGACAAATAAGTCTTGTCCCATTACACAATCCATTAGCTGGGTCTATATTTCTATGTAGCATAATGGGAGCACCAATTTTTAATATAAGGTTGTGTGGAGGAAGACCTTGAGGTGTTATGGAGTTAAGGTATTCGATTGAGTATAAGTTTGCATTATCCTCAGGCACCGAATCAAAACTATAATATATATGTTGCTCCCCAAGAAACTTCATTATAATTCAATCATTAATTTCGTCAACATTATTGTTTAATGGAGTTAATATTGCTCTTTCCATTATGAATGTAGTATCCAAGGCATATTTGGTAAGATTAGGATAGATAACATTTATTATCAAATTAATAGGATTATTTTATTGTGTAGATAAATAACCATTTCATCAGGAAGACAAATTAAATCATTTTCTATTGTTGGTTCAATACCGCTTCCTATTCTAAGAAGATATTCCATGAATGTGCTTGCCTCAGAATTATCTGCTTGGATGACTCTCATATTAGTAGTCAAAGAGAAGATGTGGATATGATTCCATAAATATGATTTATTGAGAGCAGCATTGACAATTTGAGCTCTAGTACCCTTGCATATTACTGGTAGGACCTGTCGAAAGTCTCCTCTGAATAAAACTATTTTACCACTGAATATATGATCATTTTCTATTATATCTCTCAATATCCTGTCAACAGCTTCAGGAGCATAACGATGTGTCATCGGAACTTCGTTCCAAATTATTAATGCAGTTTTTGTAAATAATCAGGCAAGATCACTTCCTTTCTTGACATTGCAGGTTGCATTTCCATCTATCATGGATATTGGTATTTTAAAGCGAGAATGTACCATGTGTCCACCACGCAATAGTAATGCAGCGATGCCAGAAGAGGCTATTGCTAATACAATTTTTTGATAGGCTCGTACATGGGCGATAAGGCAATCATATAAATAAGTCTTTCTACTTCCAGCAGGACCATCCACAAATAACACTTCCCTTTCATTTCTGCTTATGAGATCTATTACGTTATCAAATATTATGCGCTGAGTCCTATTCAATGTATTAGACTTAGCGAGTTCCTCTGGGGTAATGCTATAAGATAACTCCTCTAGAATTGTTTGTGGCAATTCTATAATATTAATTTCTGGCAACAATTCCAGTAAGTCATAATCAGATATAGTCTTTGCATGTCTTTGCAAAAATGTATTTAAGTTTTGAAAAACTTTTTGAATTTGAAGTTGTCCTTCTGGAATTCCTCCATATGCAAAATCCTCTGTCATTGCATTAAAATTCTTATTCCACAGTTAACGTACATCTGTGATATCTCTGAAGACTAATAATATTGCAAATAGGGTGTGTAACTGGTTAGGAATCTGAAATTCCCTAGCTTCTATTATACATATTTGATATTCATCATCATTTTCTAAGTAACCTCTTTATTGAACGCTTTTCTTAAAAGTAGGATATGTAATTCCATTTACCATCTTGAGTTCTTCGAAATCTGTAGCTCTTTTTACTTTTGTCAATAATAAATGGAGATAATATCTTTCACCTAAGCTGCATGTATAATTTATAGTTAATTATTGTTATAATCCCAATTATATATATTAATGATAAATAAATAATATTACATACCTTCACCTGGATGGGCCATATACATTCTTTCAATACATCCTCCACGCTGACGTTTCTTTCATGATTTGGCCTTCTTATTCCATACATAGTATATGGGAAAATCAATATAAAGAAGATTTCTTGCGTCTGGATCTTGAATATTCATTTTAAAGTATTCGGTCAGAGTTGTTTGTTGATTCCTGTTAGCCGCAATTACTTCTTCTAAATTCATGTTTTCATTAAAGAGGACTCTTTATTGATTAGAAAGATGTACTTGTAAGCGTGTGACAGCAGGGTTCATCCCACTCATACTGAATCCTAGGATTCTCCAGATGGCTTCCGGGGCTGAGACCCAATGGGCTTCAACAAAGTTTCTAATTTCATCAATTATAACTGGCCGATCTTATGCTTCATTATGCCAATGTTTATCAGTAATTTCGATTATTGCTCTGTCGTAACCTTTATAAACATATTTAAATAAATATTTAATCACCTTAATACTGGCACAGATCTCCACATTGATATGGCAGGTATATTTTATACAAAGAAATTTGTTGTATAGAACAATCCATCAGTTATCTAACTGAACCGTTTGATTTTCCATTTTTACTTTAACATAACGACCATTCTGCAGGCGATAATATATGGGATAGGAGTTCACTCTCTAAATTGTTTCACTTTGAAATTGCTTAGGATATCTTTTTGCACATCGCTTTTGTCCCATTCCATCATTAATCATACATGGTGCCTTGGGATTGAGTTTTCCGCATGGTCCATGAACCATGCTACTAACAACTGCAGCATATGTCC